TAAACCCTAAACTCCAAACCCCACTGAAGGCCTTTGGCTCGAAGCTTCTGGTGCCTGACATGGCAAGCTTCGGGTCGTGGAGTTTGGGGTTTAGGGTTTAGGGGTTCAGGGTTTAGGGTGTAGGGGTTTTAAAAAGGGGTTATCGGAGATACGTGTGGTTATATACGTACGGGGTGATTAGGGATATATGGGGTTATATTGTTTAAGTTTAGGTGTAGGGTTCAGGGGTTGGCAGGCTTTAGGGTTGGGGGTTATGTAAGGTCATATTCACCTCGGTATCCTCAGGGATCCGTCACTAAAGTGTGTGAATATTGCCTACTTTGAGCTATGCTGGAACCCCAGGGCACCATTAGACCCAACATATCTTCAGGTTTGGGGTCATCATGTAAGGATCTGAACTCTGCGTCTGCCACTGAAGGTCGTTTGAGCCTAAGTTAGGGTTTAAGAAGTCAGGTTGACAAGGGTGTAGGGCTTGAGGGGTTTTGGATGAAAGGGGCTATGGGTTTGGGCTTACAACTCCGGAGGCTACTGGATTTCGTTTACTGGGCAAGGGTTTAGTGGTGTGCGTAGGAGGGCTTCACGCGCGCATGTAAGTACAATTAATGGTAGATTCGCCCTCTTTTATGGATACAAAGGCTTACATGGCTTCCTAGTATCCGGGGTTGATGCAGAAATTTCTCGCTCAGCAAAACTTCAGGAACCCAATGGTTGTTTCTGGGCTTGAGATGGCTTACAAATGCAGCCTTTCCTTACCCTAAGGGTCCAGGGACCCAAATAAAAGGGTTTAGGGCCCAAATACCAAGAATATTCTGGTACTTGGCCCCTAAAACCCTATTATTTGATTCCTTGGACCTTTAGGGTTAGATGGGCTGCGAAGCTGAGGCGTCTGAAGCAATTATGGGTCACTAGAAGCTCAAGACAGGGTCTCCTGCCCAGCTTGCCTACAAAGAGTCTAAATCTGGAACCTCTCATACAGTTGGCTGTGTTGTTTTTAATTGAAACATGTAACCGTTTGAGAGATGGCAATCAAATCAGAAAATCTCAATCCGTGCGCCTTGAAAACTCTGGAGCAACAGATGCCCGTCGGCTGTGCAAGACTTTGCTGTTGGGGAATTTCCTGCTATAAATCGACACGACGTACAAGCCTTGAAAGGAAAGATGCGGATCGCTTCTTGGGCCACACTAGCCACTTCCACGCACGTTGGGGAAGTCTGAAATGCTGGGCAGGGCTGTGTCAGACCCAAGTTGGCGAGTATGATGCATAGGCTTGCTACCCCCCGACAGGATAAAACTTACACATGCACTCGTGATTAGAGTGCATATGTTCCTAGACCCTCCATCTACCCTCTGCATACCCTAAATAAGGACCATACACCTGTTTAAACGGTACGAGGAGGGGTCCTGGTTAGGCCTACAGCATACTGTACTTCCTGCAATGCACTGCTTCTCGCTGCTTCCTGTAAGCCAAAGTCGGCCTGCCTTCATGCCCCCAGGACGCGTGACGATCTGCACCTCAACAAGGAGGAGCAGTCATGGATTCCCTTAAGACCCCCTGTAGGGGTGTATATATGAGCTCTAGTCTAAACTCCTGGTATCCGCCTTACTAACCTCAATAGCACTCCCCTACATAATCCCCTATCTGCTGCCCCGATTCCTTAATTTTCTGCCCGCCGGCGCGTGCAGTCGTCGGGAGCTTTTGCCATCAAAGTGTCAAGTGTCACAGGATGACATGATGGCATGATTTTGTTGGACAGGGCGTGAGGACTACTGGACAAGGCTTCACGCCTTCCAAAGGGTTGCCGCAAAAATCCAGGGATATCTTGACGGCCCACATTTTACCACAGGCCACGGATCTTACTGGCTAGTAGGAATATGTAAACATCATATACAGCCACTAGATAGGTATTATAGGCCCCTATTCCCTACTCACCCCCAGTAAGTAGAGCTGGATTCCTGGAAACTGGGATTTGTAACACTCCCATGTAACCCGAGAAACCTTCGCCATAGAGTTGACATCCTGTACGGTCCTGCCAATTTCGGAAGTGAGCAAACGGCCATGGTTGGAATCATAAATGTCCTGAGCACCCCTCTTGAGGGGCTATCTGTCACGGAGCGTTCTACGCAAGGTGTAGGTTGTGCCTACTTCTGCGTGGCGAAAACTTGAAAAAGACCTAAGACCATGAGGGCACACTGCAGAAGCTTGAAGCTTTCACCCAAAAATAAATACAACTCTGCGCCCCAAACGTCCTAGAACTAATCATTGGTTAGGTTAGCTAGGAATGAAGGAATGGATCCATGTAGTAGTCCCTACACATCCCAATGTAGTAGTCTCCGCTTTATTTTCCAGCCCTTCATTCCCAGCTAACCAAAGGTAAGAGAAAGGCCCGCAGACTTAGACCACAGGGCTCCGACGGTGGGACGATGGTCGGAGCCTTGGCACATTCGTTGTAACACTGAGACAAGAAGAGCATCTTATGGAAGAAACCTGTGTAACTTCGAGTATGCAGAATGCAAGACATTTCAATGGTGGAAAAGTTCTTTCATCCATGGAAGGATACTCCTGCTCAATTGCAACGATCCACCCTTACCCCCCTTGCTTTTACAGTTTGGTGGGCTCTGCCCAGATCTCTGTTTAATTAATCTCTATGAGGCCTCGGTGCAGCAGAACTATTCTTCACAGTGGTCATCTCTCTTTCACAATCTGAAATACGCGGCTGCTGCTATACAGGTTGGTTGGTGCCGGAATCCACGTATACGCATGTTTATCAGTTCGTCTGAGGGCTTTAGCGGCTTCTTCGTCACTACGCTAAAGGGACAATGATTGAGAACTGAAGCAGAACTGCTTCAGTTCTCAGCGTTATCATCAACATTGGTACAGTGGCTGAAATCGCGTTTCTAAAAGGGGGGCATGTAGATGCATGGCAGCTTAAAAACAAAGAAGGGTTCCCAATATAACCGAAACATGATACACTCCCCATGGTGGGCACTTGTACGAAGCGAAGCCCAACTTCTCAGTCAAAAATACGGCAAACCCTCGGGAACCAAATAGCCCATTGCAGCTAATATTTGCACACTTTTGGGCCTCATGTTGGCATCATTTGTATACTTGGATCCCTAGGGAAAGCAATATCCATCTGCACGCACGCGTTTTTTTCCACGCAATCAGCTTCCCCAAGTGACAGGCCTAGCAGTAGGCTCCCATCTGGGGCTGTGGCTAGACTTTCCTTAGGGGGCAGTTCGGACGCCTACTAAGGGTTAGACCTTAGGTACGTACCTATAATAGGAGTATGAGAGTATCTCAAAGGATTAAGATTCTAAAGTCCAAACTAAAACCCAAGGAGCGTGTTTATTAGGAGATTCTTGGCGCTTCAGAGGAAGTAGACATGCACTAGAACCAACGCTAGGTTTGCTTTAGTCGCTTTTGAGCTCACATGTTGACAATTGTTGGGTCATTGTTTCAGATGGTTCTTGATGTCTGTAATACAGAAACCTAAAATGCATTCTAATCATCCTAATACAGAGCCAATACAGAGCCAGTACAGAGCCAAATGTTAAAACGGCATGCCAACGCACGCCAGCGCTGAACGCAAAGCCAACTGCTCTCACGTCTCAGCAAGGCCTCGCAGCTTGTCTGTTTTGTTGTCCCTAAACCCGAAACCCTAAACCCATTTGTTGCTATGGGGTTATGTAAGGATTATATATGATAGTTTCCCAAAATGGGGGACCCCAATATAGACCCCCAAAAATACTGTAATCCTTATTGTAGGGACCCCCTCCACAAGGTCCCCCTAATTTAGGGAGACCCCCCATATGAGCATGAACGGACAGAACTAGGGATTCAGAAGCAGATAGTTACGGATAGTTTGATAGATCCCCATCTGGGGCCCTAAAGCCCAATTGTGTATTGTGTTGAAGGTTCGAAGCCAAAACTGTTTCAAATTAAGGCAGGAAAAAGTGACCCGAAAGGGCTCAGGAATGCGTCTAGATACGGATGTAGGGACTCTGGCTTCGTGATTCCAAGCTTTGACCCTTCCTCATTCGCTTCAGGCCTTTAGGTCCCGAATACATTGGTCTGCGTATTTTCGGTACCGAAAACACTCAGGCCTGAGGGTTATTCTCTAACAAACACGGACAGCTTCCCCGGTCATCCTACTTCCGCGAAGCCTTGGCAGCTAGCTGGCTGCTGGACCGTAGGGACCAAGCCACTTAGAATAGAATGGTAGCCCCTAAGCCCTAAATGATATATAGTAGTTTCCAATTTCTTTTCCATTATTACTAAGCCTCCCTGACCCTCCAAGTACCATGTCTAGGGTGTGGGGTTTAGGGTTGGGGTTTAGGGCAGTACCCTTCACACAACCCAAATACGCACAATCAGGACCTACATAGACCCTATGTGAGTGGGACTGGTGCATACTGGCACATGCTATAAAAGGATTACGAGGGAACGAGTTTGATGATTCTTCCAGCTGCTGCACATAGTACATGGTCGCACGAGCAGTTTGAAGTGGGATGCCCTCGCGAAATCCCGGACAAGGTCCGTTTACAGCAGCCCGCAACTTCAAAAGCAAAACCCTACTTGGAGGGTCATGGGGACTTCGTAAGTAGGTTAAAAATACAGTAGGGATAATTAGGGCGACTATATGGGTTATAGGGGTTATTAACCTACTTACGAAGTCCTTCTGATCCTTGAAGTACTCTCTCAGCTGCAACCAAAAGCTGAAACCCTCAAGGCCAGACACCTTCAGCCCTGTGAGTGAACCCGGCTGTAAACTGGAAAAGCACCGAACACTGGAGTATGTGGGTTCTTCTCAAAATTAAGGGGCCCTTTTGGGTATGTATCATATTACGGCACCTACTATTGAGGGGCACCAAAATGGGACCCTACCTGTGGGAACTACCTATGTGAGCCCAAACGCCTTGAGGCCTCTCGATCATCGGCCGCGCAGCAGGAACAGCGTCGTGAGCGCCAGCATGCTAGCAGCCACAACTGGCAGCCTGAGCTTTCGTGCCCTGGACTTGGAGGGTCCCGGGGGCTTAGTAAGTAGGTTAATAACGGGGAGGGGCTTCCCGCGTCAGCTGGCGAGGGAAAGTGTTCAAGACCCAGCCATATATGCGCCAAACCCTCAACAAACCTACTAAGCCTACCCAGCTGCTCTTCAATGCGTATCGAAGATTCCATGAAGACCACCCAACAACAGGACCCATGCATCCCACATTAGACCGAAAAGACCTCCAGTTTCAGAATGTCATATAAGGACTTATATGGTAGAATCATAGAACTACAGATCTGTTGGGTGTTAGGTACACTTGGACGTTTCCATAAACAGGGGCACCCCAATGTAGATCCAAATCTGCGCCAACTTCTAGTACGGGGACCCCCCAAAAGAGGACCCTGAACTTTTAGAACCCCCGTAACTTCAAAGAAATAAGCCCTATATATAGCCTACTATACTATAGTAGTTTCCATGTTCTTTTCCATTATCCCTAGATAATTCGTATATGCCTAGTGTATCCCCTTTTTAAAAAACGGGCGAAGCGCATGCCCCCAAAGCTGCTGCTGCCTTCCGTCCGGCGGAGCTCGCGCTTCCTTAGCGATTCTCGAAAGTAACTTCAGGGTTTGGTTGATGGTTGAGAGTTTAGGTGTTTTTTGTAATCCCAAAACTCAGGATCCCACTACTTTGGAGTTCTGCAGTATCTGAAAGAGAGGCTCTCAGTTTGAGCATTATCCATGTATTTTAAAAGCTACTGGGGGGCCTCCGGCATCATTTCCTGAGCGGCAATGGGCAGACACTACTAGCAGTCATAACCAAGATCTGCCATTAGTGGTCTCGACAAAACCTGCTCCACAAAATAGGGTTTAGGGTTTAGGGTTTAGGGTCTCTGTTAAGTAAATCGAATATGGGGTGCATGGGGATCTTGTTATGACATACCCAAACCCATATTCTATCTACTTAAGGGGGACTATAGGCGTTTAGGGCTTCCACAAGCTGACGCAGGAGTTGCTGAGAGTCAATAGCTGCTACCCTAAACCCCATATAGCCCCATTCTAGTAGTTTCCATTTTCTTTTCCATTACCCCAATAGACCCCTTATGTATCTCCTATGATCACGATATAAACCCTATATACCCTGTAATGCCTATATAACCTTAGTGTCCTGGAGCCGAACAGACTCTGATATGAGTAGTATTTTATTTGGGGATACTATGGTACCCAATATAGAGTAAGATGATATCCTCCTTTTGGGTGCAGTATCCTATATAAGGAATATTATCTTACTAGGTTCAAGCACCGAAAAATACGCTACTCATATGGGTCTCACACCCAAAGAAGCTTTGCTCGCAGACTTCTCTGTGAAGATAAGCAGCAGCATGTAGTTTCTATGACAGGGGGTGACTGAACATAGACCCTTACATACGATGCCCCGTATTATAGCCCCCCCAATAAACAAACACGGACCATCAATGCATGAAAGAGCCAAGATACATATATAACAGTAGCAATAATAATGGGAGTGGTAGTAATAACAACCATCAGCGGACTCGACACCCCCAACAAAAACTCAGAACCCGCTTCTCGAACCGCTAACCCCCAAACCCTATATCCTTAAGCCATAACTTTCCCGCTAACTAACCCTAAGGACTCAAGCCTGAAACCCTAAGCCCTAAAGCCTACGCCTTGAATACTACCAACCCTACAAAATGCTACGCCCTACGAGAATCACGGGGAGCTGAGTAAGGATACTTATAATCCCTATAGGCCATACAAGGCACACACAGTCAGCCTCATTATTGACCTACTTACTAAGTCCCAGTGACCCTAAACCCTAAACCCCCTAAATCCTAGACCCTAAGCCCAAAAAATGTGGTAGTTTCCATATTTGCCTTTCCATTATTACTGAGTCCCCCTGACCCCCCCCCCCCCATAAACCCTGAACCCCTAAAACGTAAACTCTGACGTAAATGCGCCCGGCTTCCAAGCCTCCAGATGAGCCTTGGCCTCAAATGGACCCAATGGGGTCCATGGTTTAAGGATTTAGGATTTCCGGTTTAGGGTTTAGGGGTTTAGGATTTAGGGTTGAAGGGTTTTTTGGTTCAGACTCAAGGGGTTCCGGCTTCAGGTTTGGGACTCGGCGTGCAAGATTTAGGATTCCAAGTTTAGGTCTTTGAATTTTGGGCTCGGAATTCCGAGGCAACTAAGGGCATTTGAGTGAAATAGAGAAACTGTCTGTCTCAAAACAAGGATCAAATATTGTAGCTTCTTGGGATATGTTAGGGGTATATTGAGGTTATAGTAGGATAATGGAAAATAAAATGGAAACTACGTTAGACTATATTTGAAATCATCTTTGCTTACTGTAAGCCCCCATGTTATCGTAGAACTGCAAGGGAATTATAAGCCTCGCCTAACAGGATCTTGCCGGCAGGCCTTTCCAGAGACACTTACGCGGTTAAAGGGTTTAGGGTTTAGGGACATAACATCGGGCGCACGGACTTTTGTGGTCGCGGATGAAACACCCCGAGAAGCCCTTCTATGTCGTAAGCAGCTCAACGATCAAAGAGTGCGCCATCAGTACTAGGTGGGGGTTAGCAAGGACCAGTGCTGTGTACGATGCTGAGTATACTTTAGTCCAGGATACTACTTGGTTACGACTTGGAATTCTGCTGCCTAGCATCAGTACAAAAGGAACACGACATTTCGTACAAACCAGGTTTGTGTTGGTCCACCCCAGGCCTGGACACCACGGTATGGAGCAAGATACTGAGTCACGCAGCAAACAGACTCCCTACACGTGCAAGTGCTCAGTTCTCATTGTATACTCCCCAATGCCTGTTCTACAGTTAATAGCACCCAAATCCCTATTGTAGATGCTAAACATCCTGCATGGCCTTACTATACTATGGCACATTACCAATTTATTTGATATACTTGGGGTCATGGAGGATTTTGGGTATCTACGGTAGTACTCTAGTGTTGGCTCAATTTCTGTGGACCTCGACCTGGCAGCGCCCTTTAAAGTACGGGACCGCTGCATCCAAAAGACGCTCAAGACTACCAATGGCTTTTTTGGGGGGGCCTAGTACGGGGGAGTTCTTATCAGAGAGTACACGCAGGGTTTACGATTTGTATTCCCCTTATCTGCAATAGTAGTGTGGAGCACTTCAAAGCAGGGCCATGGGGCTTGTTACAACCGGCTTGTTGCTTGCTTGGCCTTAGATGTCACCTCTACTGGGAGGGTCATGGGCAATTGTGCAACTGCGGCCTTCGGTAGGATAAATAGTCAACCTTATACGGGCACTTATAAGGGGAAGTCACCTGGTTGAAACTTGGGTGTTTCCCTACCTAGGCTGAGAACGAACAAATCCATAATGGTAATTTTAAGGGGACTGTAGCCTAGTACCCGGTGGAAACTTGGGTGTTTCCCTACCTAGGCTGAGAACGCTGCATACGCAGGCTTGATCTTGTCCTGCTCCTGCTTTGTGGCCTCCAATATCATTTCTGGCTTGCATGCATAGGCACTTGGAGTAACGGATTCAGAGGGGCCTTCCAGGTACGTGTGGTATACCTATGTACATACACTGTGACAGACGTGTATGTCTGCATTTACATATATATATATCTATATTTATACATACACATGTGCGTGTATGTGTGTACGCAGAACTGCCAATGGGCTTGAGAGATAAACAGACTGCTGCTATGTCCGGCTACGAACGTGGAATTCGAACTTAACATGGGACCATTGTTTGGGCATCCTATTACGTCCTGGGGAAGCAGTCTTCAAAATGTCCAGCTCGCCTAGAGCACGGACCGCCTTAGGTCAGGATTTGGTCATGCATAGAGAAGCTATGCATCAACAGCGTTGGCAGAAAAGGATTCTTGGGGTCTTCGGCATCTTTCAATACTAGCTTCGAGGATGCGCCTCTGTCACCTCAAGGAGTTGCACTCTCTCCATTGCCTTCACCCAATAGCGCGAAGGATGCCAGACGCCTTTATTGTTCGTTGAGGTCTTGTTTATGACGAGATCGGCGCCTGAAACGTTGGCTTGCAATGAAACTAGGAAACCAGTCCCAAAGGGTCCTAAGTACCCATATGGGGAATACTTACCCAAACCATAAGGGAAATTACCACTACAGAAACCATACTTTGTACCATATAGGTACTTTGGACCCTTTGGGAATATGTAATCAGTACCCATCCCCCCCCTTGGAATGAGGGCACGCTGATGGACCTGGCCTTGGCTGTCATGTTATCCACCACATGCCTCGGCTGTACAGTCACCTTCCTGGTTCTCAGTAGGGGATAAGGAAATATATTCCCTGTATGACCCCACTGTAAGATGCACCCTTATTCCCTACTAAGCCCCAGTAAATCGGTTGGACGTTTCCAAGACAGGGCTTCGCTTGTGCGGCCGTCTAGTTAGTAATCACCTGGAACAGCATTTAAACACCTGAGAGTCGAGTCCGATAGCTGAATACTCCACTTGGAGGGTCAGGGGGACTTAGTAAGTAGGTTGATAATGGGGATAATTAGGGTTATTACATGGGTTATAGGGGCTATGAACCTACTTACTAAGTTCCCCTGACCCTCCAAGCAAAGGCTGCAGGTTCCACCTTTGCTTTTCTTCTCACGCAGCTACCAGCACTGTTGCCTAAGTCCGAACTGTGAGTAGATACCTAGACGCCCAACAAGCCCAGTTTGAGGGTAGTTGGGGACACTGTTACTCGGTAACCGCACCATGCAGGAAAAGGTTGAAGTGGCAGTTTATCAACATGATCCCCACGTAATCCCCAAACCCCAACTACCCGAACACCATCATTCCGTAGGTATGAGGTACCTAAGGTCATGCACGGTTTTAATAACATACGTAGGATTCTGGATGCCCCTATTTGAGAGATCCGAAGTGACGCCGAGGGACAGCTCGGCTCCTGTAGACGCAGCCAGAACCTGAGATTTGTACTTCAGAGGGTCCGGTTTAGGCTTTGAGGGCTTAGAGTTGTTTAGGGTTTGGGGTCCAGATACTTATAATGGAAGCTCCTGAATAATGGGATTGAAAAAGAGCATGGAAGCTTCTAGAGGGTTGGGATTTAGGGTTTAGTACATACTTGGGGCTCCGAGGCTCTAGATACCCTGTCTAGTATACTATACTGCGACAATAAGGACTGGAAAGCAAATGGCAACTTCTGAAAGATTTAGGGATGTAGCAAAGGATGGATAAGAACATCGACACATCTACATCATTCAAGGTTTGGGTTTCAGGATTTAGTATATGCTTGTGGCTGAAGGGTCCAGGTACCTAGATAGTATAATATACCGACAATGTCATTACAACGCAGGCGCGCGCTATAGTTCAGGTACGCCCAAAAACATATACAACAAGGATAAACAGGAATAGGACCCCGAATCTCCTTGCTTCATCGCTCTATGTCGCAGTTTTATTTCTGGGGACTTCCATAGTAAGTGGTGTAATATTTTGAACTCTACATCGGCTCCTTCTCATGGAGAGCCTCCCTAAATCCTACAAGCTCAACCCTAAACTCTAAACCCCAAAACCTAAACCGTAAACCCTACAAACTAAATCCTAAACCTGCGGGACCTCAAGACTGACATGCGCACCTGCACCATGGCTGCCCTTTCCAGGTAATAGAGGTCGTCAAAGGCCTCCCCAGACCCCCAAAGGGGATCTAGAAAAAAATCCACTGCAACCACATGGGAAATTATATAAGGATTATTCATGGGATATAATGGGTATATATAAGGGATCCATATTTAGATCCTCCGAGGGGTATCATAGCAGCTGATATTGCTACGGATCCTTAGAGTGGCCTATGGGGATGTACAGGGTTTACAGGCTTTAGGGCCGGGGCAGGGGGGCTTGCTCAAGATTTGCAGCACTCTCTGGCAGGTACAAGAATGGATGAGATATTGGGGGGGTCTCTGCATACGTAGTTAGTCCAGACCCTGATGAAACAGCCCTTCTTGAGCATGTCACAACTCCTACCTGGGTGTTACTGAGATTAGGTGGACCCTCACACCTCTGGAGCAGCTAGGCTTGCCATAGCACTAAGCCCTAAACCGACTGGGAGCTCAGAATTTCTGCGGATCCAAAAGCCTTTGCATGTGCCATTACTCTTGTGGGTCAAGAAGAGACGATGCTGTGAACTTGCTACAAGGCATAAGTGAAGATCTTGCAATGTGGTATTGGGCCCAAACTCGGATCATTCAATCCAGACATCACAGAAGGATTGCGTAACACTTCTACTACAGGAAAGTTGAGATCTCAAAGGGCTCATGACGGCACGGTGATTACACAGCATATGGCGGGTCTCCAGATGGTCATGAAAGCCATGTTAGGTGTGCACCAGCTGAAGGCCTGCCCCACAAGAATCACGGATTCTGCTTGGAGAGCCTCAAAAAGGCTAAAGCCCAGACCGCATCCTACTTGTTAAACTCGATCTGTACATAACAAGTACTGGAAGTTTCCCTAAGATCCATTGACGTGGGCCTCCGCTACCGTAGCGCCGCACACGATGACGCCGTGGTGGCGCTGCAGGAGCGCCAGCTTGTCCCCCATGGCCTCAAGTGATCAAGTTTCAGGCGAAAGTCTTCTGAAACAATGGTTGAAGGTGCCTATAGGGACCCCAGCGCCCAGTATGGATCCTATATATGAAGGGCATTCGGTCTGCCCCAGTGTTCAGGCAATAAAGGGCTGAGAAATTTCGAGGGTCAGGACTGCCAGGTTAGGAGGCGTGTCTATGTTGCCCCCATCAAGAAAACAGCTTGAACAGGACGGCAGGGTTGGGGAACTTTGGGTAGGCACACCGGCAACAACATGAGGACTGGGCTAAAGGTGTAGGTAGCGGCTACTGAACAATCTAGGCTCTGAAGGATGGGCATATGTGAAGAGACAGCGCATCCATCCTTCACCGGCATCATTGTGCTGCTAGCAAGTATGGAAGACTTCTTAGTCTTCTCATGAGTGAGGGAGTGGGTAATTTTGTTTTCTGTAAATGTGCCAAACTGCAAAGGTCCAAACTGACCATTGCAATCCCATCCCGTCAATATTTCAGTTAGTAAGCCCCCTCCAGCCTCCCCATTCCCCAATATACCGCCATCCTATGATCGAAGAACATTAAGCACATTTCTTCCATTGTGTAAGGCAATGATACTCAGAATGTTGTGAGCTTTTAATGATTGCGTGACACCAAGCAGCTCAGGGTACATGCATGGGACATAACTTTCGGATAATGCGCATGTTGCACATCTTTGGGTTTACATCTTTTAGCAGCTGGGTGGGTCGACCAAGATGGCCTGGGAATTAGCGTGAGCCTGCTGTATCTCAACGCATCATAGCCTTTGATGGGTTATCAACGTTGTCGGCACATCACCCACATTGCTTGCTAATTCTCATCCTACTTGGACCCTTCAACTATTCTACCCCGGACCAAACCCTAAACCTTGTGGTGAATCATACATCCGACCTTGGCCAAACGGTTGCCCTCATCTTCCTCGCAAACCAAGCCGTTGAAGACTGGGTCGTAAGCCTAGGGTTATAGGGTTATAGTGTATAGGGTTTCAGGCTAGGGGCATTGGGCTTGGAATGGCTTGGAGCTTAGGGCTTAAGCGTCAGGGTTGTTAAGGCTTTAGGGATCAGGCTTGGGAACTTGCATTGCAGGTTTGGCCCTCTGCTTTGCACGGGACAGGTTTACATACAGTTCGGCCTATAGAGACGCTAGACTTCTCCAAAGCAAGCGGGGTTGGTTTCTAGAGATTGAAGGATTCAGGCTTAACGGGGTCAGTGCAAGGTTTCGCTTCAGAAGTTCAGCGGGAACCAAGTTGGATCACACCATTGTCGCCTTACTTGCAGCTCTTCTAGTCCTTTGGAAGCGCCCCTCCTTGCACTGTTATCTAGATATGTCACACATGTAGCAACTGGCAGTTCCCTGAAGTCGATATTTACACCCAGAAGCTGCAGAGTTCCTCTTCAACGAAATTGCTCCACAGTTTTTAGAGAGGCCCATTCAAGTAATGAGCGTAGCAGGCCTGGCTAGAAGGCTAGTTGTCAGGGGGCATCAAGCTTTTGGTGTGGGGTGCAGAGCTCCAGGACAGTTTGGGCAGCTTGATACGTGTATCCTTTCTCTTCCAATCGGGTTGCATTCTGACACTACACGACAAAGGAACACCTGATTGAAAGAATGGCCGGGGCGCGACATCATCATAGAAGCGCAAGCTGTTCCTCCACACTCACTTTTGAAGGGCCCGAAGTGTACGTATACAAGACAAAGTATGGTTTCTGTAGTAGGAATTCATTGGGCTGTTGGTTTGGGTATGTAATCCTCATATGAGCTATAGTCTAAACTCCTAGTATCCCCCTTAGTAACCCCTATAGTAGTCCCCTATATAATCCCCCATATAACCCCCTTTAAGGAGTTTAGACTATGGCTCATATGGGTCTATTCCCCATATGGGCCTTAGGGCTGATGACCCCTTGAGCAAGCTCAAGAAGCGAATATCGGGCTGAGAGGTTTGTGCAGTTCCGCGCGGGGGGGGGGGGCCCCGTTTTCACAGCAAGCCTTGGAAAGAAAACGGAAGTTGTTCTTGTCTATAGGGCGATAGAGTAATAGCATGGGGATGTGCAGGGAAATATAGAGATACAATTATGTACGTAGGTATGTATGTATGTATGTATGTATGTATGTATATGATTACATAAAGATCTCTTGCTTCTGGGGCTTACCCGGATCACCATTTGCCCATAAGTATAATCTAGCTTTCCTACTACCTTGGCGGGCAGTAATCCTTTATTCTCGGTAACTAGGCTTTCTAGGCAGGATTTGAGGTGAACCCCTAAACCCTAAACCTAAATCCTAAAGCCTGAACCCTAAACCCTGAACCCTAAACCCTAAATCCTCAAGCCTGAACCCTAAACCCT